CGGCCAAGAACAACCAGCTGTCGGGCTACTACGACCCCAACTCGCAGATCTCGTCAGAGTTGACCGACGCCATCCCGAGCGGCATCAGCACCGTCTTCTGGGAGTGAGTCCCCTCGTCCTCTTTCCCTGTTCCCCCCCCCCCTCTCCCTCGGTCGGCATCCGGCGGGCGAGAGAGGGTGCAGCTTGATGACGTGGGCTTGAGAAGGTTGTCGAGCACGCGCACTGACCATGCGCCTCTCTCTCTCGCGTGCGGCACACAGCTACTACCACACCGACTCGAGGCCGTACACGGCTAAGGGGGGGGGAGCATTGGAAACTGGGGAGACAAGGGGCCGTGGATGGCGAGCGGGACTTGGACTTGGAGCAGGTGCGTCCCTCGCTCTCTCTCTCTCTCTGCGCGCACGAGCTCCATCCAGGATCAGGCTCGGCGAGCTTAGAAGGAGATGCTGTCGACGCAGGTTCTGGACGGCGCTCCCGTTCACGTTCGCGACGGTGCGGGCGAGTATGAAGGCGAGCAAGGACCCGAACGCGGGCGTCAAGCAGTGCGTCGCACTCTCTCCTCTCCCTCTCTCTCTTCCTCGTCGAGCCACACTTAACGTACTCCCTCACGCAGCGTCATGACGACCATCTGGGGCGACGAGGGCAACGAGTGCGACCTGTACTCGGCGCTCCCGGGCATGCTGTACCAGGCCGAGAGCGCCTACACGCGCGCCGACGAGGTCGACGCCGAGCTCCTCCGGCGCAAGTTTGACGGCATCGTCGGCGCCGACTTGGACGACTGGGTGTACGCGAGCAAGCTCGAGTGCGTCCCTCGCCTGTTCCTCTCTGCCTCTCTCTCTCTCTCTTCCCCGGCCACGAGACACTGACCTGGTCCTCTCCTTCCCTCCCTCCTTCCCTCTCTCGTCAACAGCGACACGCAGGCCGAGAGCCAGCCGATCAGCGTCAACTCGCACTACACGCCCAACCTCGCCAAGTTCCTCCTGTGGGAGGAGCCCTTCTTCTCGTTCCTTTCGCCGCAGTACCGCGGGTACGACCTCGAGGCGCATGTGCGTCGGGCTCCTCTCTCTCTCTCGGCGACGGACGCGGCGTATCGTGCCGCTCTCGGTCGTCTTCGTCGATGGGAGCGCCGCACTGACCTCCTGCCTCCCTGCGCGCAGTACTCGCACTTGGCGTCGTACCTCGAGCAGGCCCTGTCGTCCGACTTCAGCACCATGACGCCCTCGATCTCGCTCCCGCACTCGGTCGACGACCTGCCGCTCAACGTGCGCCTCAAGCTCCCGTACCTCCTCGCGAGCGTCCTCAGCCTCAAGTGCCACCTCCGCGAGCGCCTCGCCAACGCGTACCGGCTCGGCGACCGCGAGGAGCTCGAGGCGCTCGGTGGTGCGGGCGAGCGGAGCAGGATGAGCAGGCTCAGGGGGCTCGTCGACGAGCTGCATGCGCTGCACCGGTGCGTCCTCGTCCTCCCGCTCTCTCTCTCTCTCCTTCTCCGTCCAGTCGCTCACTCTCGTTCGCCTCTCGATGCGCGCAGCGACAACTGGATGTCGATGTACAAGCCGTTCGGGTGGGAGGTCCTCGACCTGCGGTACGGCGGCCTGCGCGCGCGCCTCGAGACGATGCACCGCCGCCTCGTCGCGTACCTCGACCCGGCCGACGCGAGCGTCACAAAGATCGAGGAGCTCGAGGTCGAACTCGAGGTGCGTCGGCTCGTTCCTCTCCCCTCTCGTCCCCCTCTCGGGCACAAAGCTCGAGGAGCGCGTGTAGTGGTACGTGGCCTGGTTACTGACGCTCTCCTCGACCCGCAGACCATCTACCCGAACCAGGGCTGCTCCCTCATGCTCGACTATGCGCGCTGCTCGCGCCCGCAGTACATCTAGTCCCCCCCTCCTTTCGCTCGGACCCTCTCTTCGCCGTTCTCGCACGCCGCACGATTGCCCTGTAGCACCTCGTCCTCTCCTTTCCCTCGTCTTCTCTCTCTGTCCCTCGACGATCCTGTGCAATACACTGTCGCACTATGGCGTCGCTGTACTCCGTGCGCGAGAGCGAGAGCGAAGATGCTCGTCCACCGTCCTGGCTCTGGACGACCCTGGCGCGGCGGACAGCTGTCGGCCCGCCGGGTCTCGCTCGAGACGCACTCGTCGACACTCATAAAGAGCGCTTGCGAGGGAGGGACCCGGCAGTAAAGCGCTCTCGGGCCTCGCCGACCTTGGACTCGGACTGGGAAGGCGAGCGGCCCAACTCGCGCTGTACACGACAAAGTAGCTCGGGAAACGCGCTCGATCGCACCGTAGACACCTCCTCGTCCGATCCATCGCGCGCACGAGGCTGTAACCCTGCTAAATCAAGAGATAGCGTCTGAGAGAGGGTGCGCAGGATCCCCCTGTTTTTAGCAGGTGGCCGGGCGCACGGGCGCTCCGCAGGGGTGCGCGCCGTGCGAGCGGCTCACCACAGTGCGCCCGCTGCCCTCAGGGGCACGTGAGGGCGGGCGCAGCCTCGTAAGGACCCGTCCGCGACGGCTCGACTCGCTGAGCCGCCGGGACAAGTGCGACGACGAACGAGAACTCTGCACGGTCTGGGAACTCTCGCGAGGGACGAGGAGAGCTTCCGGAGAGGAAAGGGCGCCGTCGCGCGGCGCAAGAAAAGCGCGAGGGGAAGCTTTCGAGGCCGAGAAGGGGGAGGTGCCATCGAGGGCGCGACTAACCTGCGGCGCGAGGTCGAGAGGGTCAGTGCGCGGTTCGGCAAGGAACACAGACCCATGTGAAGGTCCTGCAGGGAAGAAAGAGAGTGCGCGGGACGTACAAAGGACAAGATGAGCCGCCTCGAGGTCGAGAGCCAGCCTCGCGCCGCCCGGAAGCCCGCACTGCTCGCCTTGCACAGCCGTTCCGCCTGCAAAGGGACAAATTCAGTCCATCAAGACCTCTGCACCGCGTCGCGAGGTAGCAGAGGGGGCGAGGAGAGAGGGAGAGGGGGGCCAAACACGGGGAGGCGGGGAGGAGGAGGACGCGCCAGTCGCCCACAGCCCGCGCAGCGCTGCCGCCTTGCCCAGTAGTGTCCTTGATGCTGCGATAGACCTCGACGACGATTCCCACAGGCCCATGAGCCGTTGCCACGAGTCGAGAGAGGTCGGACAACGCGGTTTGCTGATGAAGATGCGACGCGCTCTGCGCCGTCGGCGGCCGCTCGTAGCGGCGCGGGAGCAGGCCCCGTAGGTAGATGATGCGATGCAGAAGAGCTGGACACGCGCCGGCGAGGCACAGCAGCGGTGCGGCCGAGTTGCGCGTGGAGGACGAGGTGCGGGGCGCGAGTCGTCGAGATTACGACCTCGCGCTTGACTTTTGTATTCGGCAATAGCTCTGAGGTCCAGCCGTTAGCAAGATTACGAAGCCCGAGCTATTCTCGCATAGACTTTGGGCTCGCTCGAGGGGAGGGCGTTCGACCGGGCTACGGGCCGATTCCGCTTCGAACTGGCCTTGGGCGAGCACGCCATCGCGCAAGGCGAACCGCGAAGCCGGCAAGCGCAGCGCCTCGTAGGAGCGGTTGACTTCCGACCTGCCACTTCTTCGCTGTCGCTCTCGCGCCCGCCTCGAGCGCTGGCCTGGCTGCGCTCCTCGCACACACACACTCAAGTCGACCGCCTCGTGCAGTCGCGGCTCTCGCTCGGCTCGTCGTCTCTGCTTTTCTCGCACTCGACCACCTGCGCGGTCCGAGCGCCTCGAGACCTTCTCAACCAGCCGTCGCAGCTCGTCGACGCACCGCCCGCTCGCGGTCGCTTGCTCCTCGTTCGACGGCGCCACACGGCTCGGGTGGGGACCCTTGCGGTCACGAGGCTCGAAGCCGGCGCCTCTCGCGTGGCATGCCGGCAGTAGACGCGCCGCCCTCGCAGCGTTATCTCGCCCCTCTCGCTCTCTCCTGCACCCCTCGCGAGCACCTCGAGCCACCATGTCGACCTACTGCGACTCGATCCCGACCCTGTCGGCGCCACCCGTCCTGAGCGAGCGCGGGCAGCGCGCCCTCGTTCGCCCGCCGCTCCTCTGCTGTTCGCTGTTCGAGTGCCAGTACAGCACCCTCAACACGTCGGGCCTGATCAATCTCGGCGTCGCAGAGAACGTGCGCACCCGCTCGCTTCCTCTCTCGGGCGACACGCGCCGGGTCGAGAGGTGGTGCCGCCTCGCCTCCTCTCGAGCCGGTCACCTGACCTTGTTCATCCTCCTGTGCACAGAGCCTCTGCGTCGAGTGGCTCGCCGACTTCTTCAAGCGCAACATCAGCCTCGAGTACAGCGATTTCACGGTGCGTCGCCGCTTTTCGCCTTCCCAAGCTCTTCTCGGCCCGCAAAAGGCTCACTGTCGTCCTTCCCGCAGTACGGCACGGCCTTGACTGGCTCGCACCGCCTCTTCGCCGCCCTGCGACACCTCTTCTCGACCTACTTTGCGGCGCACCGCCCCGTCGAGCCGTCGCACGTCCTGTGCGGCGGCGGCTGTTCGGCCATCCTCGACTCGCTCGCGTCGGTTCTCGCCGACCCGGGCGACGTCATCCTCATCGCCCTTCCGGCGTACCCGGGCTTTGCGGCGAGCTTTGGCTGCCGCAGCGGCGTCGAGGTCGTCGGCGTGCGGCTCGAGCCGGGCGAGGAGGCGTCGCCGAGCGCGCTCGACAGGTTCGAGCGCGCGTACGTCGAGTGCGCCGAGCAGGGCAAGAAGGTGCGCGCCGTCGTCGTGTGCAACCCGCACAACCCGCTCGGGTTCTGCTACCCGCGCGCGACGCTCGTCGCCTACTGCCGCTGGGCCGAGGCTCGTCAGCTCCACCTCATCAGCGACGAGATCTAGTGCGTCCACTCTCTCCCTTTCTCGTCGCCTCGTGACAGACTACTGACCACGTGCACGACGACAGCGCCCTGTCGACGTACGCTACCGCCGACGACCCGTGCCCGACCCCGTTCACCTCGCTCCTCGCGCTCGACCCTCTCGCCGAGGCCGGGTGCTCGCCGTCGCGCATCCACGTCGTGTACGGCGCGAGCAAGGACTTTGGGTGCAACGGGCTGCGGCTTGGCGTCCTCGTGTCGCAGGCCAACCCGGACGTGCACGTCGCGATCGAGAGCAGCGCGCTCCTCATCAAGGTCTCGAGCGCCGCCGTGAGCCTCTCCCTCTCTCCTTCTCTCTCCTCCCTCTCTCTCGTCGCAATCAGTCACTGACGACGATGCACTCTTGCGGTACAGGACGCCCTCTTGGCGTCGCTCCTCCTGTCGCCCTCGCTCCCTGACTTTGTCGCGCTCAACCAGTCGCGCCTCGCGGCCGCCTACGCTCGCGTGACGTCGTTCCTGCGCGAGCACGGCGTGCCGTACCGCCCGGCGCACGCGGGCCACTTTGTGTGGGTCGACCTGCGCGCGTGGCTCGAGGGCGGCGGGAGCGAGGGTCCGAGCGAGCTTGAGAAGGAGGCGACGCTCGCGAGGATGCTCTGGAGCCACGGCGTCAACCTCGTGCGTCCCCTCTCTCTCACTCTCGATGCGCACGACGCACAACGAGCGAGCCCTGACCCCTGTTGCGGCGGCGCACGCAGGGCCGCGGCTCGGCGTACGGCGGCACGCCCGGCTGGTTCCGCCTCACGTTCACGGTGCGCACCGACTTCTTCGAGGCGGGCCTCGAGCGGCTCTCGAGGGCGCTCGAGGGTCGTGCGCGCAAGGGCGAGGACGTCGAGGTGACGCTGCGCGAGGTCGAGGGCGTCGGCGAGGTGTGCACGAGCCTGGTGGCGGCGGCGTGACGGGCGCGAGGGCGCGACTTGCTATCTCTCTCTGTAGACACTCTCCTCGTCCGTGCACTCACGATTCAGTACGTTCCCTGCTAGCGGCGAGCGAGCGGCGCGACGAGCAGAAAGAGGAGAACGAGAAACGAGTCTCGCTCTCGCCGACGAGGAGCTGCCTGCCGCACCTGGCTCCTCTCGCTCGAGCAGGCAGTTCACGAGCCCGATCCGCTCGACACAGAGAGAGAAGCGAGCGCGGGAGCGAGTCTCTCTCGGCGCCTTCCTCATCGTCCGAGAGCGAGAGATTGCGAGATCATGTTACACGAGAGGAGGAGGGGAAGGGTGCTGAGGGGTGCTGTACGTGGTGTGCTGTCTTGTTGCTCGTCGTCCTCGCCCGTCTGTCCGGCCCTCGCTCGCCCATCGCGGCCGCCAGCCGCGCACCTCGTCCCACCGGCTGCTCCTCGTCCTCAGAGCTGCGGGCCGCTCACATGCCGACGCGCGCGCCGCCAGCCTGAGCGGCCTGTAGCCGCTCCTGGACCTTCTCGTTGACGGCAAAGTACTTGGCGACGCAGCTGCGAGAGGAGGATCGGCGAGGAGGAGGCGGAGGAGGAGGAGAGGCAATGTCAGCTCGTGGGTCCGCAGGTCGATGCGAGAGTGTGACTTGAGGGTGCTGCTCTGCCTTGGGGCGAGCTCCAGGAGAGAGAGGACGGACCGGTCGACGCAGACGCTCTCGCCCTTGTTGAGCTCTGGCTCGGCGTAGCGGGTCGAGATGCACTTTTGGTGGCAGCTCGACACGATGCGGGTGAACAAGTCGCTGACAGCCTCGAGCTCCATGGCGGCCTCTGCGAGGCGAGCCTGGTCGGGAGCGCCTTGGGGGACCGACGAGCGCGTTCCACCGCCAAAGAGGGACGTCATGGCTGGAGGTGGGGTGGGTGGGTGGTGGTGTTGGGTGTGGTGGTGGTGCTGGTCGAGGCGAGCTGGGTGCAGTGGCTCGCGTGTGTGCGTGTGTGGGTGGGTGTGCCGGGATGCGAGCGGCGCGATGAAGTCGATGAGCGAAAACCGGCCCAGCTGTTCCTCTCTCTTGCTCCTGCACCACTCGACTCGGCTAGCCACTCGACTCGCACAGCACACGCTCAAGCTCCAGCTCGCCTTGCCGCGGCAAACCCCCCGATCCCTGCTCGACCTCCGACTCTCGACCCTCCTCCTCCCTCCCTCCCTCCAGCGTCGTAATTTTGCAGCCCTCCTCGTGCCTCGTGCACCTCGGGAGGGAGGCTTACGGAACGGCGCGAGATCTCTCTCCTTGTACCAGTCCCCTGCAACGCGATCCGTGTCCTCTCTCTCTCTCTTTCCTCTCGAGCGAACGAAAGCGCGAGAGGCAAGCACGGCCCTGGTGTTACACCCGTGCGACGACGGCAGGAGGGAAAAGGAGGGGGTACGGCAGCGTGGGAGTACAGCTACAGGCGGACCGGTGCCGAGGGAACCGCGACCGCGACGACGCAAGAGAGAGAGAGAGGTCGACGAGGTCACTCGTTGGTCGGGAACACGTCCGGGTACGCGTGCGTCAGCTCGACCACCTTGTTGGCGAGCTCGAGGTCTGTGTGACGGCGGGAAAGATCAGCTCGTGCGGGTGGCTCAGGGAGGGAGAGAGGGAACGAAAGAGGACGCACCGATGCTCTCGCCGAGGTTCTGGCTGCGCGCGTCGGTGCCCTTGCGTCAGGACCGCGCTCGCCACGAAGAGGAGAGGATCGAGGACGCACCTGGACAGCTCGGTCACGACGGCGTCGCCGCTCTTCTTGCCAATCACTTCGACAAACGTGTCGGCCAGGTTCGAGTCCTGCGAGGCCGGGCAGCTTGTCAGGTCCTGGGCTCGACGCTTGATCAGAGAGACTGGGACGCGCCTTCATGAGCTTGACGGTGACCTGGCCCTTGTCGCTCGTCTCGAGGAGGGCCTGGTCATTCTCGAGCTGCGCGACGAGGAGGGGGAGGGGGAGCAAGGTCAGCGAAGGGGACTCGAACGAGGCGGGCAGTGGGCACGACGAACGCTGAGGACCTTGCCGATGATGCGCACGACCTTGCCCGTGGCTGCGTTGGGCTCGAAGCGGGTCAGCGACAGGTCGAGGCGCGACGAGGCGCGGTGGGGGGGGGGGG